AGCCAACAGCAATTGCTTGTTGGAATATAGTTCCGTTAGTCAGAGTTATGTTCTGCCCAGCCTTGTAGGACCCTCGCTTCAGCCAGAATTAAACACTATGAATATTTAAAGACTTGTAGAACAGCCTCCAGCATAAAAACTAACACTAACAAGGTTTCAGCACAAGCTGGTGGCAAACCATCTCCCCCAGGCTAAGCACACTTCCAAGCTCAGGTCTGTCCCTTTGTCAAAGCCCTGTTCACTCTTCCCTCTGATCCAGGGCGGAGTCATCAGGAACTTCCCTTCCCAAGCTGTGATCCAATGTAGCTAAGTCTCTCTTCCCTTCCGAACACGAGGTAAGACATGTGTTTTCTGAAAAGAATTTCACAGGAAGACATGGAAAAACAAAACAGGAAATATTACCTGTAGTTATGTAAATCTCTAAATATTCAAGTCCACTGAATATGATGCATTCATTCAAAACAGACTTACTGCCACCTAAGTGCCAAATACCATCACTTGAGAGGTGCATGAATTCTCCCAACTCAGAAGCTCACGAGAATTTTTCCTTTTTATAATAACTTTTTAAATATTATGAAGTCTATTCTTGACCGCAGGAATAGCCACCTATACCAGTGTTGCCAACTGAACAGCTAACTTTTACCACAGGTTTCTCACTCTGCTATCTCTGGACATGTTTTCAGGAGGCCACAAAGTCTGAAGTTTGGATAAGGTTGTATTATTAACAGCAGTTTTTATGTATTTATAAACTTTAAGAAGACAGTAAAGTCTTACAGCAGAGGGAAACAACGGGGACTGGAGGGATTCAAAGGAACTTTAGCTTAGTTTCTGTTCAAAATCTGCCCACTGCGAGTAACGAACATGGGGATGTTATATTATTCTCTGTACTTTTCTGTACTTTTAACATTGTCATACAAGCAAAGAAAGTAAGTAATAAAGGAAAAGATGGTGGTAAAATAACTGTGGCCACATTTTAAACACATTTCTCTGACTATGCAATTGTCTAATACTTTATATAACAAGCAATTTTTTTTAGGAGGGTGTTTTTTTTAAAATATATATTTATTGACTGCCTCGGGTCTTGGTTGCAGCACGCAGGATCTTCAATCTTCATTGCAGCATGTAGGATCTTTAGTTGCAGTACAGGAACTTCACTTGTGGTGAAGGAACTCTTAGTTGCGGCATGTAGGATCTAATTCTCTGACCAGGGATCAAACCCAACTCCCTTCATTGGGAGCACAGAATCTTAGCCACTGGACCACCAGGGAAGTTCCTATAATAAGCAATTTTAAGCAAAAATTAGGGCTTCCCTGGTGGCTCAGATGGTAAGGAATCTGTCTGCAGTACAGGAGACCCAGGTTTCCCTGTGTCAGGAAGATTCCCTGGAGAAGAAAATGGCAACCCACTACAGTATCCTTACCTAAAGAATCCCTATGGACAGAGGAGCCTGGCGGGCTACAGTCTGTGGGGTTGCAAAGAGTCGGACAAGATTGAGCAAGTAACACAAGTGAAAATAGAGATTAAAAACATTTTTTGACATCAGACGGGATTATCAGACTTAAAAGATTTCCAGTAAGGCTCCTTGAATCTCAGTTTCCCATTCATAAGTGGAATTAGCAAGTTTATCCTCAAGAGGTTGTTCTGAAAATAAAATAAGACAGAATAAAAAGAACTTAAAACCTGGTCCGTGTGAGCATTCACTATCTGCTTTCCTTACTTCTCCTTGAAAACATTTCTTTAACTCAACGCCATTTTCTTCTGATCTGCCTTTTTCAGAGTCGCTGCTGGTTTTAAATGCTACCCCAAAATTCACAAAGAGCAGTACCCTATAGATGTTTATTCTCTTTATACCCAACTCCCAACATACTTGGCAAATATTGAAAGTATTAAATTTTTGCTGTACCCTCTGATATAAATATTGAAAACTCACTTAAAAACCATTTTTAAAAGTGTTTTAGGACACTACACATAGAACTGAATTAGAAACAGAAAAAGAGCAGGAAAATGTCTATCTGAAGATTGAGAGCAGGACAGTATACTGTATGTCAAGTGAAAGATCTCTGGGGAAAAAAACCCTGACGAGTCCCCCACAGAATTCTCTATGAATATACCCTCTATAGAATGATTTAACACTGCAGTCTGGGATTGGAAGATTATGCTGTACCCTGGATCCATAATTCCCAGCTGAACAGGTGGCCCTAGGTCATTAATATGGTCTGCAGTATGCAGTTTCTGCTGAGCCTGCTTTTTTGTCTGTTTTTGTCATAATTTTGAAATACTAAGCTCGCTGCAGCAGTCCTCTTCCAATCATGACAACCCTAAGAAATAATTTTTCATGATTTGGTATCTCCCTGATCCTAGAGAACATCCTTGGACTGTATGCTCTGTCCCCTTGTTAAAGCATACACCATCATGACTCATCTAGAAAAAAGTAAGGCATTTACTTTTTAGAGTAAGGCATTGCTCTAAAGTAAGCCATTACTTTTAAAGTAAGGCAATCAGAAGACTTATGACCTTTCCAGCAAGTTTACTATCAGAGCCCAAAGGTTACTCAGGATGTTCGCAGGTCAGTGAAGGTCAGCGTTGTTGCCTAAGTTTTCCACCTGCACTGCAGAAGCTGTCATTGGTCAGACACCTCGCCTGTGGCCTCTGCCCCAGATAGCATGGCAGCCACCTTCTCTCAGCCCCCACAGCACTTTGTTCAGGTCTTTAGCATGGCTCTAACTGCTGTGGGTATGTGGCTTCTCCATTAGACTGTTCACTTCTTGAAGGCAGACTGTTCACTATATTTTCCTTTTCTTTGTATTCCCAGTACCAAGGCACTGACTGGCATATGAGAGAACAATTCAAGTCCTGATCAGGTCTCCAAAAAATTCAACTGTATTACAATAGTAGAAAGAAGTGGTTCTCAAGCTCTTTCACTGATATAAACCATCTCTGTCAACTTAACTATTGCCAAAAGTGAAACTTCACCTGAACTAACAGAACTGTTTTTGAGACAATATACAAAATGGAAAGGCTTTATGTAATATACTAAGTAACTGATTGACTTATGATAGAAACAAGTACAGTCAGTCATATTATTACATTTACCTTGCACATGGCTGTTGTAACTCATGTGTTAGATTTCTGATTAATACAAAAAAGACAGCTTTCCAAGTACAACAGAAAGAGGCTGGGCCTCTTCCCCAAGAGAGAGTAACATTTCCTAAGGTTCTCTTTTCTCTACCCCAGTAATAGCAAGATTTAATTCTGTGGGGAAAGGCAGAGAATAGAGTGCATTTACTCATCAGTAGGCAACATAGGATATTGGAAGAGCACCACTGGACTAGGACACTGCTCTGCCTCCACTGAGCTACGTAGCCAAGGAAACCAGCAGATGCTCTGGAACTCTTCTTTCCTCACATATAAAACAATTATTAACAGAGTCAAGTGCTTCTCAGAGCTTTAGGATTCTGCTTAGGAGGGAAGGATGGAGGGGAGGGCATACTACACACGAGGGGAGCCCGAGCAAAGAGGGCTTTTCAACTTTGTCAATCAAAACAACCCTGGATCCTCTGCCATTTTATATATTGAGATTCTATTTTGGGGGCTCCAAAATCACTGCAGATGGTGACTGCAGCCATGAAATTAAAAAGCACTTACTTGCTCCTTGGAAGAAAAGCTATGACCAATCTAGACAGTATATTAAAAAGCAGAGACATTACTTTGCCAACAAAGGTATGTCTAGTCAAGGCTATGGTTTTTCCAGTGGTCAAAGAAAGCTGAGAAAGCAAGCTACAAAGAAATCTACAAAGAAAGCGGAGCTCTGAAGAACTGACGCTTTTGAACTGTGGTGCTGGAGAAGACTCTTGAAAGTCCCTTGGACTGCAAGGAGACCCAACCAGTCCATCCTAAAGGAGATCAGTCCTGGGTGTTCATTGAAAGGACAGATGTTGAAGCTGAAACTCCAATATTTTGGCCACCTGATGCAATGAGCTGACTCATTTGAAAGACCCTGATGCTGGGAAACATTGGGGGCAGGAGAAGGGGACAACAGAGGATGAGATGGTTGGATGGCATCACCGACTCAATGGGTTTGGGTGAACTCCGGGAGTTGGTGATGGACAGGGAAGCCTGGCGTGCTGCAGTTCATGGGGTCGCAAAGAGTTGGACACAACTGAGTGACTGAACTGAACTGATTGAGATACTTAGGGGAAAAAAAGAGCTCTACTGCTAAAAAAAAGGAAAACTGACAAATGAACCAAAGAGCTTCTCATCTTATATTTTAAGGTGCTCTCCCAAGCTAATCCAATTTCCCATTAATATATTAATATATTAATATTAATATATTAATATATTAATATTAATATATTAATATTAATATATTAATATTAATTTTAATTAATTAATTAATTTAATTAATATTAAAATTAATATTAATTTCCCATTAATATATATGTGCTAATTTTTAATTTAGCACATATATTAGCAAGAAACTGTCATCAAGAAGCTATCATTCATTTAGCATATACTATATGGGTATCAAGTGTAAGCACTATACTAGGTACTAAGGGAACAATGGCCCAGCATTTGAAGTCATCTGAGATCAATATCAGAAAAAAAATTATAGAGCAAAACTAAAACCAAAATCTACAATTTATGTCTCTTCCAAGAGCTCAGAGTTATTTTCATGGGGTTATTGGTGCAGAAATTAATGTATTAGCTACAGGCAAACTCCCATTTTCTGCTCTCTTAATCATTTCCAGAACAGTGAGAAGAGAAGGCAATGACCAAGATCAGCAGCACTGATGAATCATGATGATATTAACACAAACTTTGCAGACCAATATGGAAAATTCTGCAAACCTCTCATCAGCACTATGGGAACTCTGCCAACCATAATCAGAACCAGCCCCCTCCAATCTCTATTCCTAAAATCAACATCATGTGATAAGCGCCAAGATCATCACTTACATTCTTCTAGTCTCCTCCTCCTCAGTTAAGTAAACAGGAACGATTCAGCCAACGAAGTTCATGACAACAAGGTGAAGGATGGTGCTGGCAAAGAGAAAATCAGCAAAGGCTCGCTCTGGGGAGATGCCTTGGAAATCCGCCTTGTTTTGTGGGTTGATCTGTATTCTCAGACAAACTGTACAAGAAGAAAAGTACAAAAATGATTATCAAATATGTAACATGTATGACTAATGCACATACTCAGACCCTCTGACCCAATAATTCTATTCCAACAGAAGTGATACGAAAGGAATGATACCGATGATGGCCCCCAAATGGATGCGATCTAATATCTATCAATAGTAAAATAGGGGGTATTCTCCAGCAGTCCAGTAGTTAGGACTCAGCACTTTCACTAACAGGGACCCAGATTCCATCCCTGCTTGGAGAACTAAGATTTCACAAGTTAAGCAACCAAAAAAAAACCCACAAACAAAACAGTAAAATGGGTCAATTATGGCATATGCATACAACAGATACCATATAGCAATGAAAGAACGTCACAACATGGATTTCCACAAATATCATGATGAGCAGTACAATCCGGACGCCAAAAAATACATTCTCATGATTCTACTTCTACAAAGCTTAAAACTGGCCAAAAACAATCTACAGCGATACAAGTCAGGATAGTGGTTTTTAATTTTTCACAGAAGAGATGACTTGGAAAGCACGTGGAGAGACCTTTAGGGTGCTGGTAATGTTCTATATCTTGACACGATAGTGGTTAAAAGGGTAAATTTTTTTAAGTTCATCAAGTTGTACACTTAAATTTTCTGCTGTTGTTCGTTAAAGGGAACAATATGACTTCTCAGAGTTAAGCTAAAAATCAAAGGCTTACTTAGAAAAAATATATATACAATATATATACAAAATCTTGAGAACTCTCTTATCTCCTGACTTAAGTTTATAAACTTATTAAGATTGAGATGTAGCTGAGGTAGTAACAAAGGAAGCAGGCTGAGACCAAGTTATAAAACTGTCAATTATTTCCAACAGAACATGTTTATTAGACAGCAGAGATGCGTATCCACGAGGACCTACCTCACAGTTATAGATAATCTTTGATCTCCCAGTTCTAGCAGCTGCTGGTCTCAAAAAAGGCAAGAGATCTAAGTCACATAGCTCTGACAGAACTCTCCATGGCCACCTTCTGTACCCTTGAAGATTCCAACCTGATACTGTAGCCACAGTCACCATTTGACATGAAAAGAAAGTTCTAGGGATACACTTTTCCTAAATATCTTTATACCTGTGACAAATGATTACACAACTTAAATTTACTTCATGCTAGCATCCGGTCCCATCACTTCACGGCAAATAGATGGGGAAACAGTGACAGACTTTATTTTCTTGGGCTCCAAAATCACTGCAGATGGTGACTGCAGCCATGAAATTCAAAGGCTCCTTGGAAGAAAAGCTATGACCAACCTAGACAGCATATTAAAAAGCAGAGACATTACTTTGCCAACAAAGGTCCATCTAGTCAAGGTCATGGTTTTTCCAGTAGCCATGTATGGATGTGAGTTGGACTATAAAGAAAGCTGAGGTCCAAAGAATTGATGCTTTTGAACTGTGGTGTTGGAAAAGGCTCTTGAGTGTCCCTTGGACTGCAAGGAGATCCAACCAGTCCATCCTTAAGGAAATCATTCCTAAATATCCCCTGGAAGGACTGATGCTGAAGCTGAAACTCCAATACTTTGGCCGCCTGATGGGAAGACCTGACTCATTGGAAAAGACCCTGATGCTGGCTGGGAAAGATTGAAGGCGGGAGAAGGGGATGACAGAGGATGAGATGGCTGGATGGATCACTGACTCAATGGACAGGAGTCTAAGTAAACTCGGGGAGTTGGTGATGGACAGGGAGGCCTGGTGTGCTGCAGTCCATGGGGTCACAAAGAGTTGGACACAACTGAGTAACTGAACTGAACTGAGCATCCATTTTACCACTAACCAAGAGAAGGCAACGAACTGAGATCTAACCCAAAGGTCAGAAAACTACTAGACTAGTTCTCAAGAGTCCATCACTATGGTAACAGAGTTGTCATTATGCTTAAACATGCAAACACTGTGGAAACACCCCTGATGTTTTTCAGAAACCTGGACTCCAAAACATGAAGGACACTGACTGAAACAAGGGTGGCCAATTAAAATCTGCTGGGGTGAGTACAGCTTGGTTCATCCATTTGCCAGAGCAACTAGCAACATCTATTAATATTTAAAATGCTGCCACCTTTTAACTAAAGAATTTATCTTACAGAACAAGGACATTCTAACAGCATGTACCTAAAGCTGAAAAAAAAGTGATAACAGTCCAAATGACATCAAGGGATTATTTAAATAAATTACAGAGATGCAATAAAATCCCATGCAATTATTCAAAAGAATGAGGTGAATTCTCGATAGGTTGACAGTAAAGATATCTAAAATATATTAACTGAAAAAAAGCCAAAAATATTACACTATTCTATTCCATATTTCTCTTAAATACATTTTCTCATTTTTCTTGGAATGTAGAAAAACTCTGGAGAGATACCAAACACAATTAACAGAGGCTATTGAGGTGAAGGTGGGAGTAGAGTAGTGCTTGAGAATGGGGGACAAAAGGAAAGAGAAACTCTACATGAAGGTGATGTTACCATTTTCACAATCACAGTAATCGAATAACTTCAATAACAACGTAAGAGTCAGAATCTTGCAGAGATGCAAAGGACCCTGAATGTCATACAGACCAACATCCCTTATGATGCACAAAATGCCCAAGAGATGGTGAGAATGGACATGCCAAGAGGGCTGCATGAATCAGCTGGGAATCGTTTCAAAATATACTTACCATTTCCGGAATCTGATAAGTCATCCCCAGGTAGAGAATTACAAACCATCCAGAGCCTGTGTTATCACAGAGGCAACATATCCCCCACATGCAGGGGTGAAAAAAAGGCAAAGAACGCCTGTTCAAAAAGTGTTAGTCTCTCAGTCATGTCCAACACTTTGCGACCCCATAGACTGTAGCCCTCCAGGTTCCTCTGTCCATAGAATTCTCCAGGCAAAAAGAATACTGGAGTGGGTTGCCATTCCCTTCTCCAAGGGATCTTCCCAACCCAGGGATCGAACCCATATCTCTTGCATTGCAGGTAGATTCTTTACTGAGTCATCATGGAAGCCCTCTGTTCAAACTGCGCCCCACCCCCCCCGGCCACCCCCCACAAATATCCTCAGTCTCTCCCTGAGCACTTCCAAAAATGGAAATGTACTACCTTCTGAGGCAGCTTGCTCCATTTTAGTGGTTCTAATTTATCTCCTTAAGTGTACATTTATTCAGCAAAATATTTACTGAGCATCTACTATGTGCCGTTTGGCACAGAGTAAGAGTCTGGCTCCCAAAGAACTTACACTTCAATGAAGAGAAACATAATAAACAAGAAAACAAATAAATAAGGAAATATGAGGTAGAGAGATGTACTATAAAGAAAACAAGGTAATAGAAGAGTGACTGGGAAGCTACTTCTTATTTGGTGGTAACAGAAGTTCTAACAAGGTGCTATTTTAAGACCAAAATTTGATAGGAGCCAACTATGGAAAGATCTAGGGGCAGAGCATTCCAGGGAGCAAGAACAATGTTGACATGCTCTAGGTACAACATGTCAGACTGACTAGACTGTAGAGATCAAGGGCAAGAGGCGGACAAGGGCCAAATCCAGTGGGGCTTTGTAAGCGTCAGTAAAGAGTCTGGATGTAGTTCTAAAAGCAATGGAGTATTGGAAGAATCAATATTGTCAAAATGGCTATACTACCCAAAGCAATCTACAGATTCAATGCAATCCCTATCAAACTACCAACGGTATTTTTCACAGAACTAGAACGAATAATTTCACAATTTGTATGGAAATACAAAAAACCTCGAATAGCCAAAGTAATCCTGAGAAAGAAGAATGGAACTGGAGGAATCAATCTGCCTGACTTCAGACTATACTACAAAGCCACAGTCATCAAGACAGTATGGTACTGACACAAAGACAGAAATATAGATCAATGGAACAGAATAGAAAGCCCAGAGATAAATCCACGAACCTATGGTCACATTATCTTTGACAAAGGAGGCAAGGATATACAATGGAAAAAAGACAACCTCTTTAACAAGTGGTGCTGGGAAAACTGGTCAACCACCTGTAAAAGAATGAAACTAGAACACTTTCTAACACCATACACAAAAATAAACTCAAGATGGATTAAAGATCTAAATGTAAGACCAGAAACTATAAAACTCCTAGAGGAGAAGATAGGCAAAACACTCTCTGACATAAATCACAGCAGGATCCTCTATGACCCACATCCCAGAATTTTAGAAATAAAAGCAAAAATAAACAAATGGGACCTAATGAAACTTAAAAGCTTTTGCACAACAAAGGAAACTATAAGCAAGGTGAAAAGACAGCCCTCAGATTGGGAGAAAATAATAGCAAACGAAGCAACAGACAAAGGATTAATCTCAAAAATATACAAGCAACTCCTCCAGCTCAACTCCAGAAAAATAAATGACCGAATCAAAAAATGGGCCAAAGAACTGAACAGACATTTCTCCAAGGAAGACATACAGATAGCTAACAAACACATGAAAAGATGCTCAACATCACTCATTATCAGAGAAATGCAAATCAAAACCACAATGAGGTACCATTACACACCAGTCAGGATGGCTGCTATCCAAAAGTCTACAAGCAATAAATGCTGGAGAGGGTGTGGAGAAAAGGGAACCCTCTTACACTGTTGGTGGGAATGCAAATTAGTACAGCCACTATGGAAAACAGTGTGGAGATTTCTTAAAAAGCTGGAAATAGAACTGCCATATGACCCAGCAATCCCACTTCTGGGCATACACACCGAGGAAACCAGATCTGAAAGAGACACGTGTACCCCAATGTTCATCGCAGCACTGTTTATAATAGCCAGGACATGGAAGCAAGCTAGATGCCCATCAGCAGACAAATGGATGAGGAAGCTGTGGTACATATACACCATGGAATATTACTCAGCCATTAAAAAGAATTCATTTGAATCAGTTCTAATGAGATGGATGAAACTGGAGCCCATTATACAGAGCGAAGTAAGCCAGAAAGATAAAGACCATTACAGTAT